TTTCAAGGTTTGTCAGCACCATACCCGTGCTCGTGGGTATGGTGAACCTCTGAGACCTGTATCACTTCGGGCTTTCTTCCCACATTAATCTGACACGCCGTGATATAACTGGAATACTGTTAAAAGCGGCGTTAAACCCAACTCACTCACTCACTCACTCATAATTATACACTGTAAGGTCTTGTCATGTGAGTACGTGTCTGGGTTATACAGTAACGTCTGATATGAAAACTAACTGACAACTGACAATATAATGATATTCGTCTGCAAAAGCTGTTGACTTTCACAATTTACACTCTCTGGGTATGTTACCCCAGGCATCGACCTGATAAACATGGGAAAGTGTGATTACAGGTAACGTACATTAGAAGTGAATAAGATGTTGAGTTTTGAGGAGTAGGTATTGCTTTTTGTGGAACTACACTGCCTTCCTTTGAAATTTGGTAAAACTGTGTCTCCTGTATCTTTCTAAATGTTCTATCGGCGGCTGAAAGGGGTTGCACTGAATTCCTTTGCATTATTGAAATTGAAGTTACTAAGTTTTAAATCGGCTAAAGTAGCGGACAATACATAGCCACAATAACATCAATTCTATCTGAGGGCGGCCGGGTAGCCTAGTGGTTAAAGCGTTCGCTCGTCACGCTGAAGACCCGGGTTCGATTCCCGACATGGGTACAATGTGTGAAGCCCATTTCTGGTGTCCCCCGCCGTGATATTGCTGGAATATTGCTAAAAGCGGCGTAAAACCATACTCACTCACTCACTCACTCAATTCTATCTGAAGAGAATGTACGGTGGTAAGTATATATTTCTACTTACAGAAGTGGACATACTCAGCCATGGTTTTGTATTTGTTTGTTTTCATCACATATAGCAGACGCATAAGCATATATTTTTAGAGAGTACCTGCTATTAATGTTCGGTTTCTTATGAAACAGTTGTTCCCCGGAGCTCTAATATCGATTTCCTGGATAGTACAGATAGCTTTGTCGTGGAAGTTCCTGGTTTATTTGAGGTCAACATTGACAGCCAATGGGAAGTCCTTCCCGTACCCAGCACAACACAGCTCTTCATTGTGACTCCCGGCTCACTGGGACGCGGATTATGTAGTAGTTTTGGAGGTCAACGCTAGTCACCGCGAGTCACCGTAAGTTAGATTGAATCATATCAGTAGGCTGGTTGCCTTGGGGTTATATTCGCGGGCTGCGTGTTCATTCATTCATGATCTCCGACCTCAATACATTTCACGTTGTAAATAGTGGAGACCCGTAAATACCGTTCTAACTTGAATACCCTGGATTGTTTCGGGGTACTTCTGTTATTGTTATGTCTTACTGGGTGGCGGGGTGGAGTGGGGAATGTGTGGATTGACGAATCATGGGTACCGCTTAATGTCTATTATCACTGTGGACGCTGTGATATCAAACTGTTATAGTTTTTAAAGCAGGGTTCCGCATCAACGGTTTCCACTTTAAAGGGGGTTTGATTGTAATTTATCCCAAAATCCATTGTTTTAGCTAATCATATCTGACAATATGTTCGCGTAATTACTACAAATACAATGTACGGGCGTTGGGGTGTATTTTTATTTATCTTCATAATACGGGACAGCTAGCAGAAAGCGTCTCCTCACTTCAGGGGCGGTTTGGTGGTCTAGTGGTTAAAGCGTTCGCTCGTCACGCTTCAGACCCTGGTTTAACGTCGTGTTTAAAATTATTGCTCGTATATAGTGACAATGATGCACGTGCGTGTGTGGGGGAGTTGGGTTTAACGCCGTTTTCCAGTTACACCACGGTGGCGAGTATGGAGGATGAGGAATGTCTTCGAACCCACATTGTCGCTCAGAATCCTTTGCAAGTCGTGAGATGTGAGAAGAGGCATCGTCATAAAGTAGTAGAACTCCAGCAGTCAGCATTTCTCTCAAGTGATGAAGCAAATCAGCATGGTAGGCACCGGTAATCGTCTTTGTCTTTCAAAGTAATCAACAAGGATCACACCCTTTGCATCTCAGAATACAGTGGCCATAATTTTCTTCACTGATCTTGAAGACCGGAGTATCTTTGGTGCTGGAGAAGTGGAATGGTGCCGTTCCAGGGATTGACGTTTTCACTCGGGATCATGGTGGTAGACCCATCGTTCATCACCCGTTTCTAATCACTTTTTTAATTTGATGAAATCCCCCTGAATTGGCTCTAAATTATCTCGGGCAATGTCAGTACTGTTTTCCTTAAGATCAGAATTTAGAAACTTTGGCACCCAACGATCAGATATCTTATTAAAATGAATATATATATATAGTCGAATTTAAGTTATGAGGAGATGTTGTTCCCACTTGAAGCGCTCTTAGAATAATTATGAGAAGTTGTATCCCTTGAAGCAATCATAAAATGCTCGTTGAAACATGACTACTGATATGCATATTTCATGCACAGCTACTGATTTGTTTCATTTTAAACACAAATACGTACTTGTGTGCCTAGGAAATCTATGGTCAAATGTACGCTTCGTAACAATGAATATTTCAATATATCTTTACATTTCAATAGAACATGGTGTACAAACACAATCAAGATTTTGGACATCATTTATTCTTCTACACAGATTTATCTTAAAGTTATGGAGTGATATTCCTATTTAACCTGTTGCTTTAATTATCTATCCTGTAGAATAACGATAAATACTTTTGACATGTGTGACGTTATATCACCATATTTACTGAGAGGCTTTGCTATGCTTATCGATGTATGCCACGATTGTGAAAAAACATCTATCTTAAATTGAATCAAAAAATAGTTTCATTACCAACTTCTTGCGAAATTGCATTAGCGCATCATGTAATTAATTGCTTGGTGCATCAGATATTGCATGTTGCTCCATCAGCCAGGTGAGACCCGTGAAGATTCCGGGGTAGAATAGGTCTCCAGCAACCCATACTTGCCGTTAAAGGTGACTATATATGCTTGTCGTAAAAGGCGACTAACGGGATCGGGTGGTCAGGCTCGCTGACTTGGTTGATGCATATCATCGATCCCAATTGCGTGGATCGATGCTCATGATATCAATCACTGGATTGCGTGTCCAGACTCGATTATTTACAGACCGCCGTCATATAGCTGGAATATTGCTGAATGCGGCGTTAAACAACCAACCAACCAACCAACATCAGCCAGGTGAGGCAGAACGGCCCTCCTTTCCGTTGAAACTGCCACCTGGCAATATATAGTGGGCAGCAGCTTAACGTACCCTCCCTTCCCAGAGTATCAACTCTTGCTATTATTCTGGGCTGTTTTTGTCAATCCAGCAGACTGTAACGGCGGAACCCCCGGGGCAGATGTAGGGTTTCAGGTTTGTTAATAAGACGTATATAGGGCTCATTGATGCATTTCCCCTCATTTGATATAATTCAATATATATGTGGGAGCTTGGCCGAGTTGTCGATGATGGTGCCCCTCGCTATTATTCATCTCATGTCATTGGTTTGGCAGGCTGGACGCTTGCCTGCTACCGGTACTGTTTGTGTGTTGTTTTACGCCGCACTATTCCAGCTATATAAGGCAATTGGTATACGATGACATGTATCAACCAATTTAGCCAATCTGACCACCCGATCCTCTTAGTCGTCTCTTACAACAAGCATAGTCGCCTTTTACGGCAAGCATGGGTTGCTGAAGACCTATTCTACCTCGGATCTTCACGGGTCTGCTACCGGTTCAGCTGACCACCACTTAAGGGAGGTGGCCTTTGGTGGCTTTCCTCCTGGGTGGGGTATCTGTATTTGCCGTGGGGGTTCGGGTCCAAACTATTTGCATTCCCAATCAGCATTAAACAGTGCCCAAATGTCTTTAAACAATTCAGTAGTTTATATTTTGTATGCCATCTTACGTTGATTTAACTTTCATGTTGTTAATACAGCAACGGCGATGACTTATTACAATAATACTCCAACGATTGTGGCGTATTACAATAATCTCGCACATGGCAGAGATGCATTACAATAACATTGTAATGGTGGTGACATTATGGAATATTACTGCCACGGTAGTGATGTATACGATACTCCAGCAATGGTTCGGACGTAATACAGTGATACAGCAACGATAGTTACGGGTTACAGTAATACAGCAACGATAGTTACGGGTTACAGTAATACAGCAACGATAGTTACGGGTTACAGTAATACAGCAACGATAGTTACGGGTTACAGTAATACAGCAACGATAGTTACGGGTCACAGTAATACAGCAACGATAGTTACGGGTTACAGTAATACAGCAACGATAGTTACGGGTTACAGTAATACAGCAACGATAGGTACAGGTTACAGTAATACAGCAAGGATAGTTACGGGTTACAGTAATACAGCAAGGATAGTTACGGGTTACGGTAATACAGCAACGATAGTTACGGGTTACAGTAATACAGCAACGATAGTTACGGGTTACAGTAATACAGCAACGATAGTTACGGGTTACGGTAATACAGCAACGATAGTTACGGGTTACAGTAATACAGCAACGATAGTTACGGGTTACAGTAATACAGCAACGATAGTTACGGGTTACAGTAATACAGCAAGGATAGTTACGGGTTACAGTAATACAGCAACGATAGTTACGGGTTACGGTAATACAGCAACGATAGTTACGGGTTACAGTAATACAGCAACGATAGGTACAGGTTACAGTAATACAGCAACGATAGTTACGGGTTACAGTAATACAGCAACGATGGAAACATCGTACAGTTGTTCTGCACCATAGTGACGTTACAGTCATACAGACATGGTGGAGACGTAAAGCTTTTCAAAATGTTGAGCACAGATGCGTCTCTTAGCTGCAGGATACAATTTAGTCCTTAGTTTGTCAACATCATAGCCCTGCTTGTTGGTTACATCACAGTTGTAAGCGGCGTTTACGATAAGCATATCTTTAAGTCACGGAGATGCGCATCAATGATCAGGGGTGTCATAAAATTAGAAAAAAGTGATAAAGAAAATGTGGTAGTAGTTTCTCAGGTTTATTAAATAACTACCAATTGTACTAATGGTAAACCAAAAAAAGATAAGATAACCCCAATCTGCGCACTGTAATTCTATCAGCGCAAATATACAGTCAAGCAATTTATCCATTCAACAGTAATACAGCATTAAAAGGAGAGCTGCTAAAACAAATTTATTAATTATCTAACACAAAACGATCTGACGCTGCAAGATAGCGACTGCCGGAAACAAAGCCGGGGAACAGAGCGGCACTAGTCAGTGACATGGGTAAACAGAAAACACGGTGACACTCACTCAGCATGGTATAACAGAGAAACAACCCAACATTATAGTTTTTTAATATACAATAACACAACTCTTCTGTCAAACAAGGATAGATTTCGTGTCATGACCCTTATATCAGTTGTGATTAGTAGGTATATTTTTTCTAAGCAAGCAAGCTAAAGGTGACAAATTGTTTAGGTTTGTCAACAGGTAACGGACAAAAAAGTAAAACGTGATACTCGCTACCTGTATTATATTACTTAAAACGTACAGCTTAAAATTACAGCTTTTTAATAATTAGGTTGTCTGAAAACACACCACCAGCAAAATATAAAACATCTACGAATCTGATAGCTCTGACCGCTGCAGTCACAGGTCTTGCATGTGCGACTTCTACTCTGTTTGCCTGCTTTGCATGTTCCCCAGGACGTCCAGGTGCCTGTGCTCGGATCATTCCAGTGTTTGAGGTCAATTTCATCCAGAGAACAGCACGAGGACCTGGAACAAGTTGTTTGACCAGTGTTACAACAATCAAGGCCTTCGTAACGTTCTCAAAAAGTATTATGAAAGGGCATTTCCAAATTTGACGCATCAGTTACCAAAACGATGTCAAGTGGCATTCACCATTTTAACTTGAACCATAGGTTCACGTGTTGTAAGTGAACAGTTGACTCGCCCTTGCGTTTGTTTGTGATGGTACCAACGCTGGAGTAAGATGCGTTCACCTTTTCGCGAACACCTTGTGTCATCAGATATAGACAGTGATTCATTACCACATGCTCATGCTACATACGGACTCGTATAATGGACTCAGGGATGTCTGATGATTATAAGAAATTTGTCGATTTCATTTAATCATTTCAATAAGAAAGCAATGGGGTTCCACTGGGTTAAAAGCCTTTAAGCTCATCTTTTCTAACACCAGTTATCATCTCCATTTGATGGGGATTCATAACCACATGCCCATGACATTGTAGGAATCGGACAATGATCTTCTTTCAGCAGAGATATATGGTGCTTATGGAAAGGATCTTGCCTCCAATAATAAAATGAATAAAATGCTTTGATCATGAGTGGGGATGAATAAGAGGTATTTCTGCTGTTCAGGTGGCAATTGCTATTTCAAGAGATCATGCACATTGTTTTATATTATGATGACTATTTTTTTATAATTTCAAAGTGTTGAACACTACTTACAGAGATCCCTTGATGAAAGCGTTCTTCTGGATCATGTAGGTGTCCGTATTATCACACACTACCCTGGACAGACTGGCTTTCCGGATCTCATTCAGCTGGTCTGATAACAAATCATAACATTACCATGAATTGTATTCAATTGTCACTGACTGATCAAATCATATTAACCATGTCTGATGATTTGACGACCGCGCCGTGACGTCTTAATAGTGACGTGCGGTTTGAACTGAACAATGCAAGGCTTCCTTACTCTTTTCCCAGAGTGCCCACTTCATGATGGCACTTCCGTGCCTGTCATATATGCGAGTACAGCATACTGATGTAAAAACAATAATGTTCAATAGCCATGATTTGTTTAAAGGGTATTATCAGTGTTTCCAGCATTGAAATCGATAACACTTTCAAAACAATGGACTAAACCCATGCCGCTTTACTCAATGTATTCGCTGACACAAAAGAGGAATCATTTCATAGTGTCCTGGTAGAATGGAGATTAACGTGCTGTCAATTTAGAACAAGGTTATATGTAGATTGAACAGTGTTAAATAAAATAAAAACACAGTATGTTTGTCCTGTAATGATATGCTTTAAATACATGACACATGAATTATATACTATGGCTCAAGCGTAACATTGTCAATGAGTTTTGTTAGTTTTTCAGTCACTGCTTCAAGACAGACAATTTTCTTTCTTTGAAAAGTGAGCCAAATTCTTTTCACAACGATTTATTACATTTGATTTCACACTCAAAATGTTTCTTCAGTATTCCTCTGGAATAACAATTTGTTAAGTTCTAATGATGGGAAAACTATTCGATTCCATTATGGCAATATCTTTATAGTCGATGTTATTTTATGGTCCTTCGGAATTTGCCTGTCAGTGCTTTTTGCTTGTCTCGGAATACACACACGTAGTTTTAATGTTCACTCACTCTTAGTAAATTTCACATATGCGTTGTTCTCTTCAAACCAGAATCGGTCTCCTTCCTTCAGGGCCTGGAACTGCTTCCCCAGGAGACAGGTAAATGTCGGTCCCAGAAGACCTCCTGGAACAGGCTTCTCAGACAGAGCCCCAGGAAACAGGTCAATGTCGTCGATGTGCCTGGAAAGAGACATGTAACTATGGATCGGTGTGATTCAGGGTGTTGGCTCAGTGGATGATAACGTGTACAGAAAGAACACTTTCTATCTCTGTTGTACTTGTCACAACTTGTCGAAGAACAAGTCTAGTCACGATCTAGTGACCGCGCCCTCAATATAATTTTCGGGCTTCCGTCATTATTCGGCAAAGTCTGGCGGTCATCGTTGTCTAGAGTGTTTTTGCATTCATTGCTACAGAATAAGTGACCCGTACATATTATTCTCTAGTTATTTAACTACATAACGTGATGCAATAGAAGTATTTTCTTCAGAAAATGGACCGCACTCACTTATACACTTTCTTTAAAAGGTTCACTGTAGTATCTGTGTGTGTCGTGGGGGCCAGGCCGTCGATGGATGTAGCATTTGGAACGTTACAGTACTTCCTCCACTCGGTGTAAGACGGTAGCCCGTGGTCTCTTCCTCTCTGGATGTTGAGAGCTGCCAGGTCCAGACTATTTCCTTTACTGTCAGCAAACAGCTTGTCCGTGACCTCCTGCGTCAGTTTGTGTTCTGCATTCTGAACTCCGTCCTTAACCAGCCCTCTACAGTAATGACCAACCTTTCTGTTGTTGACGTTCAGAATGAGATTCGTGTTGCCGAAGGTCTTGCTTAGTTGGTCCTGGCCGATATTACTATATGAAGAGCTGTAGCTAGCTAAGAAGCTGTGGATCATGGAGTGTCCCATTCTGAAAGCCGCCGTAGCGAAGGCGTTCCTGATGCTGGCGTCGGTCGTAGTGCTGTATACGTTGGCGTAAGTGCTCCGAGACCCAATTGGCAAGTCATACTTGGTCATCGCTTGCTGGCCCATGATAATAGGCAAGTATTCATCGTACGTGATTTTCTGAAATCCCGAGTATATTGAATTTACATTCATTTGCAGTAGACACATATAACATGATTATTTACATTATTTCAGACAGACCGACAGACAGTTTATTTATGTGCATTTCCTTTCTCTGTCGAAATTGATTAAGAAAAATAGAATATTCATACCTGTATAATAGCGCCGACTATCTTCCTTGCTTCCTGGAAAGTGATCTCATCGCTCCAATGGCAGTTGCGTTCTTTTAGTTTTTTAGCTATGCGGTTGTGTTCTCTCATGAAGATGGTGTGCATGCTCTGAAGAGTTGGATTTTCATTCACTCGATGATCACCTTAAAAAATAAATAATAATGGTTTCTTAATGCCCCAAATCTATTATGTTTCTGGTCTTTGAAATTTGACCTCAAACAAGAGATGACGTGGCTGTTATCGAATCATTTACATGGAGGAAGAACATGTTTCTTGCCCTAATAATAGGAATGGTTATAATTAACATTAAGTTTATATGTTTCTAAAACGCTCTACCATTGAATGAAAGTATGGGTGTTATATTTGATGGATGAGACTAGAGCATAACAGAGTAGTTAATGACATCATTATGAATATAGGATGTATACTGTGGATGATAGCACAAATGTAGAAGTACTTTTCTGTCATGTGATATTTTTGCCCAATGCACTCGTTGTGCCGGCGCTGGAGAGTCAACTATCCAATATCAAAGTATAGTTTTCATTTTCATTGTGTTAAAACAGACACTCTCAAGCATGTTCTTTCGAAAATATGGATAATCCGATCAGAGATTCAGTTGCCGATTTTGCGTTGCAATTCTTCCAACTATTAAGCAAAGACAGATATTTTCCATCTGGTCTTCATTTTCTAGTTTTTACAAGTTTTAATCTACTCACCCAAGTAATTTTCTCCTACCAACACCCGTCTCATCGATTGTCGCATCCCATTTCTGGGCCAGTGTTTCGCCAAAGCAAACGTAAATACGAGGGATGGTCAAAACGTTCTAAGTCTGACTAACTTACAACTGTGGGCCATAACAAAGTGAAAAAGTCAAATGTTTGAGGCCGTTTGTTTATTAGTGACAGGCAGTTGGACACGAAAGGAACGTGTACCGAGCAGTCATCAAGTTTTTGACTTAGGAGAACAATACTCCCCCAGAAATTCATGACCGCATGTCACAAGCGTACGGGATAAGTGCCCGAGCTATTCCACTGTTAAACGTTTGGCAGCTATTTTTAAGGATGATGACCCAAGGTCTGGGCCCCCCTCAACTTCCACCAATGAAGATTCAATCAAGGAGATAGAAAATGCTTATACTGTCGGACAGATGTATTACCATTGCTCAACTTGTGGAAGATACAGGTCTAAGCCATGGATCCATTGAAACTATTATTCATGAACATTTCAGATGAATATGATATCTGCTCATTTTGTGCCGATTTCCAAATTCTGAACTTAAATAAAATGGAACCGACATTGCCAGAGAAAATTTAGAGATAATTGAGGAGGATTTCATCAAATTGAAAAAAGAGATTAGTCACGGGTGATGAAACATAGGTCTACCACTATGATCCCGAGTCAAAATGTCAATTCATTGAACGGCACTATTCCACATCTCCGGCACCAAAGAAATTCAAGTCTTCAAGATCAGTGCAGAAAGGTATAGCCACTGTATTCTGGGATGCAAAGGATCCTTGTTGATTACTTAGAAAGCCAAAAGACGAGTACCGGTGCCTACTATGCGGATTTGCTTCATCGCCTGAGAGATTCTATCAAAGTAAAGCGGCAAAAAAATTCATAAAGGTTATTGAAAATGCTACACGCTCTTCCTACCTGCTAGGAAACAGTAACTAGGGCTGTTTGGTGTGGTACAACTAGACTGTGAATCGTTTGGCAAGTGAGCACATCTCATCTTCAACTGACCTGAAACAAGGTACAATGTAATTATATCAACAACTTCTTGAAAGACTGGATTGATTACAGATAGATTCACTGATTTTTACCAAAACCAATATTAGTTTATTTCCTATTTTAATCTAACCACGAAAGATTTCCTATTGCAGCATGTGGAGAATGGGTACCCCTTGCACGAACACCTGGTGTCATCACTGCCTTTCGGTGATCTGTTCATATAATTTACTTTCTACGCCACATGAAATGTTTTTCATCTGATAAATCGAGACTGAATATACTCTGGCGTTGACGTTTACAGAAACTTTTTCAAGTAGGTCTCACTGTAAATTATCACTTGTGCTTCATGATTACTGGTACGTCCACGCCCTATTGTTCCATTGGTTTGATTGTTCAAATGACGTCACTTTATTGTATTCTCTCAAATAATGAAAGTTACCTCATCAACAGTTCATGAAGAAGCTGGAAGCGTGACTTTGTTACAACAACAGAGCCGATGACAATATTCATGATCCGAAAATCCCAACCCAACATGGAATTATTCCTTCTTTGATATTTCTGAAATATCTGAATCAGCGAAGGGTGTTTTTTCTGTTTGCAGTTTGCATTATTTACATTAAAGACGAAAATCATATCATCAACGAAAGCTTCACATGGGAAAATGTAATAAATGAGGCTATTTTACGGGAATTGGACCACATTAATTGGTCCTCCTCCTGAATTGACCGTTCATATGTTCTCCTACCGTCGACAAAAGTCCGTAGCTTGTTCTGTTCCTCCTGTGACGACCCGTACACCTGTGAGGCGTCTATGTAGGCTGTGAGCTGGTTCAGCTGTTCCACAGGAGCTGGAACAAGCATATCTTGTCATTGGAACAACGAGTATGTGTCACTGTACCATACGGGGCACGGGCAAGTTGTCTCATGCGGCACAACAGTCTGCGAAGAGTTTCCTTATCAATGTGTAAACTTGACATTTCCTGGACATGATTGAGTGCGCGAACATGAGGAGTATTTAGTTTAGATGACAGCTTAATAAGGCTATGAGAACTGTGTGTTGGCTTAGACGACTACACCACTATTCTCCAAAGCAATACTGTTACCACGATTGATTTAACGTTATGACTTACAAAATAACGATGTGTGTCATATTACCTGCGTGGCAATATTCGTTCGCTACTTGAACCGAGCGCACGAAGTTCATGCAGGTGGAATCGAAGTGTCGATCGGGTTGTGGAATGTCGATGGGAAAACACTGCGGCCTGAAAAGAACCAAATTGATTGCCTCTGTGTAACACAAAATCAGTGTGGGCGAGCGTAGACTAACCGCATAAAGGCTATAATTCGGCTCAAATGTGCAGCAAATGTCAGTTAAATAAGCATTAAAACTTTCCCAATACATGTTAAGTATTATAATTCTAACTAAAATGATGGCATGGTCGACTTGCATTTCGCTGATAAAAGAACCAATAAAGAGGAAAGTCCTTCAATGCTTAATTTAACATTATTACAATGAAAGTATTGTTTAAATACAAGCCCATGTTGAACAAAATTAAAAGAATTCCCAGTTCACCTGCTAAGGGAAGAGTATCGCGATCTCGAGCACGTTTGTTTCGAACAAAACTAAACAGCAAGTAAAAACATAATGTTTAGCGTCCTTGTCGATATCGTTGGGATTGGGATTTTATGTTTGAACAGTGATCTAATAAAACAAATATCGTTGTTCAAGAAGGCCTACAATATAATACGTAATGCAAACAGGGACAATTTAAAAGGAAAGATATAAATGTAATTTGCCCACCTTATTAGATCTGGTAATGGCTCTGGTGGTCGTGCCCCTCGTTTTCCTCTATAACTACCAAGACCAAGACCGCAGCATCCAACAGAAGAACCGCCATTCGGACCTGCAACGATTTATTATTTTGTTTATTACACATGCTTATGATAATGTTGGAACGACACAATAGACTCTGCTTCAAGCAGAGATGTCTTCTGTGCAGCGTCAAGCAATGAATACTTACATTTTTATGCAAATTATATGAATGGCGGGTGCTACCGGTAGGGCAGGGCATGCTTACCCTTTTCGCGAACACCTGGTGTCATCACTGGTTGTCAGTGGTTCTTGCATATAATTTCTATAGCTATTTTGTCCGTGAACCAAATGGAATCTGTTTGAGCAAAAATCTAGGCTGGTTATTCCCTTGCATTGACAATTTATATGGTTTGTCCGGTCTTTATTATTATTATGTAATAAAAAATGCAGCAAAAAGGGTTTGGGTGATCCTCGCACAGTCAGGCTGGTTAGGCTCATCATCAGCTCAGGGTCCATGCCCCCTCCACACGCAGCCCAGACAGTGAATGGGACTTCTCACAGGAAGCGGTGCCTTGTCAAACCGACCTAGAACTTTTGGGAGAATGTGACGACTCCCCATCACTGCAGCCTTCTGCATTACACAGATTATCAGAAGGGCTGTATTCCTGGCAAGCACACCCGGGTACTCTCTCAGTATCAGTCAACAGATTGGGAGGTACCAAACCTAAGGCACCGGGAACAATGGGGAGTCCGACAAACTGGTACTTGGGATGCAAGCGTGACATTTCGAAAGTGAGGTCCACATAGTTGCCATGGTTTTCCTGAATCTTATCAATCACATTAGTCTCAGGAGGGACATAGAATTCAATAATATAATTTATTTAAATCGATACATCAAAAAGGCGTGGATACGGTCCTATTCTAAAGAATTTCGTATTTAACATTTTCATTGACGCACTCTTCATATTCTTGGTCGTACCATTGATGGACCTCTGTCTCAAAACCACAAGCATGGCGAAGACTGTAATAACGTGATCGAGCTACACCATCATGTCTACATTTCATATTTACATTTTGATGGAAATCACACATTGACGGTTTCGAGGGGGAAGTTACTGGTCCCGAGAGGCAAACAGAAAGCCTTCTGTTTCACTTTTCAGACCAGCCGACTTCATCCAAGGATGGACCCGATGCCAAGGTCGTACGAAGTGCCATCCTTTGTGAAACTGAGCCTGTGCCGATTTGATATGGAACTTCGCTTGGTTAACATAATTTCTGTACCGTCCAGCAGTACAGAACCATCCACAAAATCAGCATTAAACAAATCAAGCAGATTTCCAAGACCGGTGGTGATCTGTATTTCAACTGCCATAATTAAAGTTATATTCCTCATCAAGAATTTTATGATTCAGAAATCAATATTTGTTTCCTATTCCTACCCGGACAGACGATCAGCTGAAACGTGTTCTACTTTAGTTGCCTTGTTTTTGTGGTCATAATTATGCAGGTTGAAAATGACCTCATTTGCCTCAGATAGTTAGAAACATGCAGGATTGAAAAAGAATTATCTAAAAATCTTTTAAAAATTATTTTAAGCTATTGCTCAGTGAATAAGGACGTGCATGGTGAATCTTTCGGAAATGAAGATAACAAACATGTCGAAAAATAAGTTCCAAGAAGCTTTTTCTGTTACCTCCAGACAGTTGCTGTGTTGGTGTGCTGGTGATGTCGTGATCCAGGAACTGACCCCACTGCATCAACATGTGGGTGTAGGAGGCGTGGCGGTCAGCGTCTGTTGACGGGGGGTGGACAGTCGTGCTGACCAGGCGGGCACTGGGTAACTTTGAGGACGACCCAAGGGTGGCTTTTTCTCGTGGGGAAGATATATCTAAAACAGATTAATGAAACTTATATAAAGAACCGAATGATGAGATAACAAGGACCTTGACATCCAAACTATGTATCGTGCTAGGTAATGCGTGGCATGGTTCATTCCCTGCAAAGTGATAATGGGTTTCAAATCCACGATAGTAGTTTTCCGGCACGCAATATGGGCACACCTTCGCACATAGCATTACGGTGCCTTAGACGACTGGGCTACCTTTACCCCAATTTATATTCGAAATAAATTGTGATGTGAACACATTTACAGTCATCATAAGCGGGATCCAGCCATCGCCTCATTGGAATGAATGCCTTGCCCCAGGTTGTATGCTCGAGGTTGTTGCAGGAACCATCAGCTGTCCGGTAGGGGGAGGAGGTGTTACACGGTTCAACAAGGCTGGAATCGCACTCGAGCTTTGGACCGAAACCATTCTTCAACATCAAGGGCACGGACTCCTGTGGTACTTTCGCTCTGCAATAGTATACCATGTAACCATTCATTTCCACGAACTACTTTGACATAAGGCTGCATTGAACAGCTTAAGGATAGTCCACAGTGGAGAGAAAAATACTGATACATACAGGCGTGTACAATCTTTGTTAAATCCACAAGTACGGGTATCACTACTGTTCTGACACTCCAAGGATAAAAATTATGAACAATTTTGGAGTCACAATCACGTCAGTCCGCGGATCCTGACAGACGTCAAAACAACTCGTATCTCATCTTGATAGCACGTAGCTAATGACATCTCAATTTGATTGGACGTTGCTAATGATATCTCAACTTGATAGCACGTAGCTAACGATATCTCAACTTGATAGCACGTAGCAAATGATATCTCAACTTGATAGCACGTACCAAATAATATCTCAACTTTACAGCACGTAGCTAATGATATGTCAACTTGATAGGACGTACCCAATGATATGTCAACTTGATGGCACGTACCTAATGATATCTCAACTCTGTAGCACGTAGCTAATGATATCTCAACTTGATAACATGTAGATAATGATATATCAACTTGATGGCACGAAGCTAATTATATCTCAACTTTACAGCATATAGCTAATGATATCTCAACTTGATAGCACGTAGCTAACGATATCTCAACTTGATGGCACGTAGCTTACGATATCACAACTTGATAGCACGTAGCTAATGATATCTCAACTTGATAGTACGAAGCTAATGATATCTAAACTTGATAACACGTAGCTAACGATATCTTAACTTGATAGCACGTAGCTAATGATACCTCACCTTGATAACACGTAGCTAATAATACCTCAACTTGATAGCACGCAGCTAATGATATCTCAACTTGATAACACGTAGCTAATAATACCTCAACTTGATGGCACGTAGCTAATGATATCTCAACTTTGTAGCACGTAGCTAATGATATCTCTACTTAATAACACGTAGCTAATGATATATTAACTTGATGGCACGAAGCTAATGATATCTCAACTTGATAGCACGTAGCTAATGATATCTCAACTTGATAGCACGTAGCTAATGATACCTCACCTTGATAACACGTAGCTAATAATACCTCAACTTGATGGTACGTAGCTAATGATATCTCAACTTCATAACACGTAGCTAATGATATCTCAACTTAATAGTACGTAGCTAATGATATCTCAACTTGATAACACGTAGCAAATGATATCTCAACTTGATAGCACGTAGCTAATGATACCTCACCTTGATGACACGTAGCTTATAATACCTCAACTTGATGGCACGTAGCTAATGATATCTCAACTTGATAGCACGTAGCTAATGATATCTCAACTTGATAGTACGTAGCTAATGATATCTCAACTTGATAACAAGTAGCTAACGATATCTCAACTTGATAGCACGTAGCTAATGATACCTCACCTTGATAACATGTAGCTGATAATACCTAAACTTGATAGCACGTAGCTAATCATATCTCAACTTGATGGTACGTAGCTAATAATACCTCAACTTGATGGCACGTAGCTAATGATATCTCAACTTGATAGCACGTAGCTAATGATATCTCAACTTGATAGTACGTTGCTAATGATATCTCAACTTGATAACACGTAGCTAATTATATCTCAACTTGATAGCACGTAGCTAATGATATCTCACCTTGATAACACGTAGCTAATAATACCTCAACTTGATAGCACGTAGCTAATGATATATCAACTTGATAGCACGTAGCTAATGATATCTCAACTTGATGGTACGTAGCTAATGATATCTCAACTTGATAACACGTAGCTAATGATATCTCACCTTGATAACACGTAGCTAATGATATCTCAACTTGATGGCACCTAGCTTACAATATCTCAACTTGATAGCACGTAGCTAATATCTCAACTTGATAGCACGTAGCTAATGATATCTCAATTTGATGGCACGTAGCTAATGATATCTGAACTTGATGGCACGTAACTAATGATCCCTTAACTTGATAGCACGTAACTAATGATCCCTTAACTTGATAGCACGTACCTGATGATATCTAAACTTGATGGCACGTACCTAGTGATATCTGAACTTGATAGCACGCACCTGATGATATCTCAACTTGATGGCACGTACCTAGTGATATCTGAACTTGATAGCACGCACCTGATGATATCTCAACTTGATGGCACGTACCTAGTGATATCTGAACTTGATAGCACGCACCTGATGATACGCAAGATTCCTGGCACGTAGCTAATGATACGAATAGGTTCCATGTTTCAGGGCACGTAGCTTATGATATCTCAGTTTCATGGCACGTATCTAATGATATGCCAGTTTCATGGCACGTACCTAATGATACGTCAGTTTCATAGCACGTATCTAATGAAATGCCAATTTCATGACACGTACCTTGTGATACTCCAGTTTCATGACATGTACGGAATGATATCTAAGTTTCATGGCACGTTCCTAATGATACGCCAGTTTCATGGCAAGTTCCTAATGATACGCCAGTTTCATGGCACGTACCTGATGCTACGCCAGTTTCATGGCACGTTCCTAATCAAACGCCAGTTTCATGGCACATGACTCATAACACGCCAGTTTCATGGCACGTTCCTAATGATACACTAGTTTCATGGCACGTACTTAATGATACACCAGTTTCATGGCACGTACTTAATGATACACCAGTTTAATGGCATGTACCTGATGCTACGCCAGTTTCATGGCACGAATCTAATGATACGACACTTTCATGACACGTACCTAGTGATATCCAAGTTTCATTGCACATACCTAATAATACGTCAGCTTCATGGCACGTACCTAAAGATATCCCGGTTTCATGGCACGTACATAATGATAAGTCACTTTCATGTCACGTACCTAATGATACGTCAGTTTCATGTCACGTACCTAATGATACGTCAGTTTCATGTCACGTACCTAATGATATGCCAGTTTCATGGCACGTACCTAATGATACACCAGTTCCATGGCACGTACCTAATGATATGCCAGTTTCATGACACGTACCTAATGATACGTCAGTTTCATTGCACGTAGCTAATGATAAGCCAGTTTCATGGCACGTACCTAATGATACGTCAGTTTCATGGCACGTACCTAATGATATGCCAGTTTCATGGCACGTACCTAATGATACACCAGTTTCATGGCACGTTCCTGATGCTACGACAGTTTCATGGCATGTACCTAATGGTACGCCAGTTTCTTTGCACGTACCTAATGATACGTCAGTTTCATGGCACATACCTAATGATATCCTGGTTTCATGGCACGTACCTAATGATACGTCAGTTTCATGGCACATACCTAATAATATGCCGGTTTCATAGCACGTACCTAATGGTACGTCAGTTTCACAGCACGTATCTAATGATACGCCAGTTTCATGACAAGTACCTTATGATACGCCAGTTTCATGGCATGTACTGAATGATATTTAAGTTTCATGGCACGTACCTAAACATACGCCAGTTTCATGGCACGTGACTAATAAGGACTCAGTTTCATAGCACGTACCTAATGATACGTCAGTTTCATGGCACGTAGCTAATGATAAGTCAGTTTCATGGCACGTACCAAATGATATCCCAGTTTCATGGCATATACCTAATGCTGGGCCAGTTTCATGGCACGTACCTAATGATATCCAAGTTTCATGCCACGTACCTAATGATACGTCAGTTTCATGGGACGTACCTAATGATAAGTCAGTTTCATGGCACGTACCTAATGATATCCCGGTTTCATGGCACGTACCTAATGATATGCCAGTTTCATGGCACGTATCTAATGATATGCCAGTTTCATGGCACGTACCTGATGCTACGCCAATTTCATGGCACGTTCGAAATGAAACGCCAGTTTTAAGGCATATGACTTCTGATACACTATTCTCTTTCAGATTAAATCCTCATTGGGGCACTTATTGCATTTTCCTTGCTCAAGAAAATCTACATGACAAAGTTGTAACCATTTTCCTAAAGAAAAAATGTTACCACACAAAAAACTTCGTTTTTGTATGACATACGACCACCCTCACGGGGCCTCACTACCCACGGCGCCTCACGCCAAGGGGAGCAACTCTCACCCAAATCACTTTCCTTATGTCATCTGTAAGAGACAGACGTGTTGATTTTTCACACAAGATAAAATAAGAGAATCTATCGTTCGACAAGAACCATGGCTGACCAAACTGTATGTATGGTACATTTCTTTCATTGCAAAGGCGTAATACCTCGCATTGTAAAGTTATAGAGTTGTAATTATACGCCACGTGCACGTACCTTTGAATTCATTTGCGTCCATATTGTAGTTCCACGGGCTGATACAAGTAACACCAAGGCCATTAGAAACGGCTTGGGGTTTTGTTATATCATACAGCATTGGTCTACAATTTTTTCCTTTACAAAAGCCCAAGGTGGTGTGTTAATTTATAAACTACACTTACCTTTTTTTACGGGTTTTTACACCTTCGCGCGTAACACGCCCACTTTGGTGTTATAATTATACTACGACATTGGCTGTCAGTATCGCGTTACAAATCGCATTCTCCATTACGCCTTTGCTTCTAGTTTCACAATTTATGCAGGTATCTTTCCGATCTTTATATCGCACTGATAACCTTTAATACCCTTCCCGCCCACCTCAGAAATTACGGTCTTTTTTACAAAAACCTTCAAACTGCGTCCGGGTTGTTCTAAGACAGGCACGAACGCTGCCGTAAATGTCTGGCGCAGGACGGGCATTGCCTTTATCCCCGGACAAGTTGACTTGCTCCACTTTAAAGAGGTCTATTAAAGGCGGGGGTAAATATCAGATCTGCTAAGACCTCCCCTCCTCCCCATCTAAAAAAGGGTAAAAAAGCGGCCGAGACTGTCTCCCCCGCTCCCTCTCCGGGGGCCGGGGGAGAAGGCTCGAGGGTCCCCGTAGTAAGCACTGCACCCTCTCCTGCACTGTCTTTGGCAGACTTT